AAAATGCAAAATGTGGATAGTTTTCTAGAAATATTCACTCAAGTTAAAAGGTCTAACTCTAAATCCATTTCATAAAACACTGAGGGTGTGAATAAGAATTAAATATTGAGTAAATCCATAAAAGAACTTAAACCTTACTCACTGTCTATTCCCTCAAATACAAACATGATGAAAATATGGGTTATTCATAGAATTTAAAATATTTTTATATGACGCCAGTCAAGTGGAGTTCAACAGTTTAATATTCGAACCCTCTGACTTACTTCAGCCTTAGAAGGTCAGTAATTCCGTTAACCTCCCCCATAATATTTGTCCCTCATAATCTGTATCTAGTTGTGTTGAACTTCCAGCTGATGAATCCACTTATTTCATCCACAAAAAATTAATTGTGACAAAGAGTCCTCCTAAGTGCTGTGGACATCTATGGATTATTATGACGAAAATATAGAAATATCATCAGAATATCTCAAATATTTCAGCTTAAATGAGCTTATATATGTTATGGTAAGTAACACCGCGCTGAAGTAGGATGAGCCTTGGATAAATATGGGGGAGGGATGGCTGGAATATTGGGTGGCTGGGTTCTGAAGCAGTCCTGCTCCCCTGTGGCCATTCAAACGCTGCCTTTCATCAAAACTGCAACCAGAATGTGACAGGGATATCAGTTCTCCATCTCCGAAAGAAGTTGAGAAACAGTAAAAATTAATAATTTAAATCCAGACAAGGTTTTAGAATGACAGTGATGAATTATTACTTACAATAATGGTACCACTAACTGGTGTTCTGTCCAATACGTCTGATATAGGTCAATATGCATTCTAGTTTTCGAGAAAACAAATAAATCCCCAAGTATATCAGTTTACGTTGAAGGTGCATCGTAGCAACAGTTCTTTCAGGTAATGGATCGGTATACCGACATCGATGCTACATTCAATCCAATACATCAGTCTAACTAGGACATTATGGTCAGCAGCCATGAAATTTAAGCACTACATGGTTGCATTATGGATGTCTTTGTTCATTTGGCGAGGTTACTTAAAAAAGCAGTTTTAGGTGCAGCCGTAGTCTTATGTAATTTCGATCTGTTGATGAAATTGTTTATTGAAATAGAATTGATCCAACATCTGTGTGGACGTCTGAAGAATTCTCTTACGCATACTACTAGTGTGAAAGAAGAACCACAACAGTACAAACCGAACTTCAAAATTGTTGAGTAACGCTCTACAATGATTACAAGCAACGAATTGTTTTCGAAGTGTTATTCAATAAAAAATACTGTGATCGATATAATAAACAAACTAATATATAATTACATGCTAAATCTGTGTTGAAGTTTCATAGAAGTATGAGTTTAGTGATTTCTGTTAGATTTTCAGAACAATGAAGACTGGACTGAAGCATTGTTTTGAATAAACTTTTTTATTATTTTTGATAACATCTTGATTCCACACCATATTTTTTGGCACAGGTATGGAATTTTCAGCATTTGATATCGGTAGCTCAAATTTTGCAGGCCGATCATAGATATCAGATGTGCGTCGGCAGAGGATCGAACCCCGGACCATGTGCATGATCAGCGAGAGTGATAACCACTGTGCCACCAACCCACAGTCTACAGATATGAATCCGTAGATGAAATTGTACCTACTTGAACTAGAACTTTAACTGAAGACTTCCAATGGTGTGAAACAAAGTCGTTATTAATACAGTGGATAATGCTAAGTCCTTGAATCACAATTATTTTACCAGTTTAGACAAAGATGCTCAATGCACCCGCTGAGTTTTTCATTGGATGAAGCATCCACAGACTTTTTTGTTAAATAATCTTGCTAGGACACAGATTAAGTTCTGGACTGATAACTGGTTACATTCTTGTTTCTCAGAAAGAAAGAAATGCAGTGTATGCAAAAGAAAGGTTTCCACTACTTGGATTACTGGAGCCCATGATCCCCAAGTTACCGTTCCTCTTCCTTCTGTTTCTTTTTTATTTCACGTATGGCTTGCCTATTTCTGAGGAATCTAAATCTGTTAAGTATGTTGATGACCTGAGTTTTCCGTAACTGTAGCTTTACAGTGCCAAAACGAAAAACAGCCCATGGAAAATGGTCTTAAACTACATCACTACAAATGTCAAACTCTTATTTTTTCCTTTCAAAAATAAATAGGACTGAAATAAACATTAAGGAAACTGAAAATAGAAGTCAATCAAAATGTCAGATGCCTTAGACGAAGTCTTTCCTTGCCTTTACGCACTCTGCTGATTTGTCTTACAATATTTTTCTGTCAAGTTAGTGGCAAAACTCAGCTTTTTCTCTTATCGTTTTTCAGCTCTTTTCTCTGTGCGTCGGTGGTACAGCGGTAGAATGCTCACCAATCACTCATGTATTGCGGGGTTCGATCCCCAGCCAACGCAATCCAAAACCTCGCTAAGCCAGTAATAAGACTGGTGGAGAGGGAAATTCGGGCATGAGGATTGTAAACTCGTCCTATTAAGATGAATACCACTGCTACTGAAACTCAGAGCTCTAGCTTGTAAACTTATGTTCCACTGGGGACATAAAGGAATAAAAAGCTCTTTTCTCTACTGCTCTCTCTTATTCTTTCTTCAGCTGCTTAAAAAAAACACCCTGTTACCTTGGGGCGAGACGTAAAAGCAATGAGTAGGATGAGTGGTGTGTCTTTAGTCTATGTCAATGCTATCATCATTGACAAAATTTCGAATTTGTGCGCTGAATCGACAAAAGTAACCTTTTTTGAACTTCTAGCATCGTTTTCACTCTTAACTTTTATTCGCACCATACAAGTTGGTCGAGATTTCGGAAGACTTTACGTTAGCGTGACCACGCCTAGAAATATTTACACTTTACTTATGTATTCACAATAACTGACTACTTAGATTATATAAATATCTTCCCGAATTTATCCATTTTATTATTATTACTATCACCTTAATTATTATCCGTCAACTGATGTACCTAAACTTTAATTCCACTAAGTATATTAGTTAATAGTAATAGTAATTTCATTATCCAATTAAAAAGATTGATAAGAAACTACCAAAAATATCTGTTTGCTTTAATCGCATCCTCTAATTATCATGATAGAAGTATTCAAAACAAATCTGATTTACCTTCCTGTCTATGGCATTCTAACATCTATGGATCTAGGACTGTTGAAAAATTTGTCCTCTCGAAATGTTTCAGCTAAACATAAAAACTTGACGAGACTGTTTGTTTAGGTTACTATCGTATTTCCCATTTATTGGTTATATGGGACCTAAATGTTTGGTATTTGGTGATATATCAACTCCACCGAGTTACCGGACATCGTCGAGGAGTTTTTAGGAGTGGCTTAAATGTTAACAAAGACCAAACATTTTAGTCCAGCGTAACCGATAAATGGGAAATGCAAAATTAACTTAAATAACTGACTGATAGTCGTTAAACAACAGGTGGTTCTTGTGACCCAAGTGGCCTAATGGGTAAAAATTGGAAGCTTAAAATGATGAGTAAATGGCCAAGTCTTAATGGGGACATTATCACTAACTGGCGATTGCAGGTATATGCAACTGAAGAGTTTCATATTATATGAAATGACTACCCTGAATTCCACTGCTAGTCGTTGTCTAGAAAACATGGGATGCACCACTGTACTGCATGTAAAGAATTCTACATTGCGCAGTTCGTGGCAGAAACGAGTTCACGGTAGTCACTCGTAAAAATGCATTAACCCTCTGACAGCTGATGTTAGTCACAGGGAGATGCAGATAGCGCTAAATGATTGGAGAATCATTTGTAATTAAACAATACCGCTCAGAGGACACAGCTGCACCAAAATACATAAAAGACGCTCACAGTATGCATAAATCAACCTTTGATCACATAGTTGCCACTGTGGTACTATTATGTTTTCCGATCTTATTTGTTATTTAGTGTTTTGTAATGCACTAATATAAGTTGATGGAAGACTATACAAAGCGATTTATCCTTTTATAATTCTTTTGAAAATCTGTCGTTTTAAACACTTCAGTAGGGTAAATAACACATAAATCCGATGCGAAAGAGTTCTAAACATATTTTCACTGATAAGACGATTTCTGTGAATAAAATTAGCAAAGATTTTAAATACTTTCGCTGAGAAAATAATTAATTACTCAAATGTATAGTGGCACAGACTATATAAATCTTAGTTTCTGCCCAATTCCACTAGTTTACTTCGGATCACCGCTGTGTAACTTTAAGGATGGTTCCGGCCGTTTCACTTTCATTTTCTTCTTGCCACAAATAGTGAAGAAACTCTCAGTTGTCTGAAATATGCAAAACATTTCATAGAATCCTTCAGAAAGGATATAAAGCGCAAAAAAACAAATGTGCAAACGATAAAATTTACGATTCTTGAACTAAAATAAAGGTGATCTACAACCACTACAGTCCCCAGCTCACCACTCAACCTAAACTGTAAACTGTGATTACTGAAACTACAATCCTGAATGTGAAGGGGATTTACACATCACTTAGACGATCTACCTGATTTTTGGACAGTGTTCAAGCTGTCTGGATCGGCATGAAACCAGCAAAATCACATGATGCAATAAACTAAGTGGTCACGTTTAAATGAAAACCAATATCGTGATAGTTCTTGAACCATTCGGCTGAAGAATACTAGCCTCATGCTCTTCATAGTGTAGTAGGCGGCTCACCCACTAAATCAACAGATATTTTGTCTTTGATTCGGTGTAAGCAGAGATGTGTCACCAGAATAATAAATAGTTATTGTCATCATGATGAATGTACAGTCACATTCAAAATATTCATACAACAGATTGGTAAATCGTTGCATAATTTAAATTGATTTACAGGTTGGTTTCAGATCCTCTAGATCAAACCTTGCAGTTCCACTATTTAATCTAAATCGAAATTTTATTTGACAGTTTTGTAGTTTTTTATGTAAAGCCTTACAGTACTTTAAATTTTACTTTCCATTCTCTCTTTTTATATTAGACTGGGATATAACTATGGATGGGCACGCAGTAGGAAATTCTTAAAACAGTTGGTCAAGGATAATATTGACCTATCGTTAGTAGAATACGAAATTCTACGACATTCGAAGAATAAAAGGCCAAAGTCGTAAGTTTTCTACTTACCTTATTATTATAATTATTACTATTACTGTGTGCTATACGTAAGATTTATGAATGCTCTATTTGAGCATTTATTGATCCTCTGAAAAAAATTGTAAATACTTTGTTCACGCATAAGAGGCATAATTTTTGCATTTTTTTCTAACCTAAACATATATCCTTAATACAGTTTTAAACAGTATATTTCTCTACATGTGGCAACTCAAATGGAATTAAAATCTGAGCACAAGTGACAGCTTCCACTTACGATTGTTTTAAAATTCAATTGCATTTCTCTGTTGATTTGTGTATGGAGGTGGGGCTTTTATAACTGAAATGGTACCATACTCAGCAGCAGAATTCTGAGTCGAGACTTTGCTAAATAGTTCAAAGCCTTATAAGTCCCTGTTAAGCCGTATAAAAAAGGAAGCGTTCAACAAAGAGTTAGCCTTTCCAGAGATAACATCCTCAAGCTGTACCCTCAGATATATATAATTGGTCATAGCAACAAAAGAAATATTTCTAAGGATGTGTTATCAAAACTATACGTTTTAGCTGACAATTACCCAATTCGGTAAATGATAATCGGGTAGAAACCAAAATAAAAATAATAGTGAGTTGATATTCAAGTATAAGTTTGTAGGGATTTGACTGATTGGTTTACAAGAATTCATCATGAGCTGACATCGGTTAGAGAACCATTGGAAAACCTGGGAGTACTGGACAGCCGTTTCATCAGCCTAGTTTGGCAATCTTCAGCAGTACGCACCCACCGAACCCAAAACCTACTGGTTACAAGGCTAGCCAGTTCAAAGACCGTTAAGCTGATGGTTCATGAATTCTTCTGCCAATTCACGACACAGTGTGACTACTAGCCAATGTCTTCGGCGAGTATTTTTCCTCAGGCCCGACGTACTCTATCCCATTGGTCACGACTTCCCTCTAGAATCCCAAGTAACTACCTACCTGAATAGGGCCAGTCGCTGTCCAGTACTCCCAGGTTTTCCAATGGTTCTCTAACCGATGTCAGCATATGATGAAATCCCGTAACTGATTTCATGTATATTAACGAATTCGGAGAAAAAGAATGAATGTATTTCATAGAACATATCTTGATCCAAACAAAGTATTCCTTGCGTGTGTGTGTATGTGTAATGCCTATTGTGTCAATACGCGTGGTTCAAATAAATTAAAATACAAACTCCTACTTTTTGATGAAATCCTATACAATAAATCACATTAAATGTGCTCTTACTGGTTGATGATCACACGTAATATAATCTAAAATTAATTATGTATTAATCCGTTCAAATTAAATCATTTGAAGTAGTAAAACAAACCTTCAAAAGCTTTTAAGGAAAGTAAAGCATAACTTTATTACTTTATTTACACAGAATACACAGCATAAAGCGGATGTGTAGTGCCATAAGCATAAAATTTGTACCTCAAGGTAAATATGACGGAAAATCAGGTGACCACTTGTGCCTTAGGGTTTATGCATAAAAACCTCATATATTCAGACGGTTTGATAGACATTATTAATTTGGCAAACTTTTGTTAGCTAGATATCATCTTTGTGACCAGTAATTTCCTATTCAAATCATTAAAGATTTATGGTATCATATTTCTCTGGCATGACTATGATTTGATTTAAATACTATCAGTCTGCACTGAACACAATTATAATGCATTTATTGTCTGATACTTACCAGTGATTTAAAATGGAACCTGTTAGTCTTGATTGATGCATTTATAAATCTGTTTGTCAGGAACGGCTAGGAAGATTTTTAGCTAATTTGAATTTGCCCTGTGACTGACCCAGTCTCTGTTGATATAACAGCTTCTACTAAGGATGCTTCGGTGTTGTATGAGGATTACTGTGATTCTACTAATGCTGATGGTGACTGTCAGTGGAATCCAGGGTTTTCAGCTGCAGTCTCAAATAGGATGATATGTGCACTCTAAATTCCAACGTCAGTCAACAGTAAGCAAAATGATTAATGAGTTCAGTTCTCAAAAGGAGATGGTCGTGACTCTGAATCTACCATGGTAATAAGTTTTACTTATTATTCTTGATTCATTTAAAACTATCTTTTTCAATAGCATTATCTTAACTCATTTCAACACTATTATTATTGTTATTGTTATTATAACTATTACTATTGATATTACTCTGTTTGCAATTCTTGTTATATTCTCTAATGACTAATTGTTTATCTAAGTGATGTAATTGAAGCGTAGTGCAATTTACCTTAATTTTGATCTCTCATGCTCTCTCTCCCCTTATCTATTTGAACATGACCTGGAAAAACATTCGCACCTGTCTTTCTGCATGACTAATTCAATGTAGTTTGTTTACTTATCAGTGTTATATCTCCCAATGTAGTTTCAAAAGTATATCTATCCGTATATGTAGAGTATTCAGCTGACGAGTTCTACCGAAATTTGATGAATTTATTAAATCCTGCTTTATAAACCTTTATTGCTTGTTTTAAGTTCTCAGACAGTTAAACTTTAGTGATTTTACAGTTAATTTCAGTTCTGGAAGAGTAATCAATGCAGCAGCTTAGACATACACGCTGATCGAAATATGTGGACCAGAGAACATTTTGATTACTGAACTAAGCCATATTTCACTGTTACTCATTTTGTTGCATTGTAATTCTGCATTAGATGATTGAGGGATTTAGATATAAAAAGACACCAACGGACTTTTCTTGTCACTGCGGTCACTTCCCAACACTTAGATTATCTACTCCATTTTCTTCTCCGTTATCTCTACAAACATATAGTGAACATTTTCAGTCTCTGATCTATATAGAATAACTGACCGACCTAACGTTCTTATGGAGAATCCAAATCTTGTTCTTTATGCTGACTGAATGTAACCGGTTTCCAAACGGATTTCAGAATGATGGAGGTCTCTCTTGTCTTTCTGATTCCTGTTGTGACATCCTCATCCATTCTGTTCCCTGTAGCTGAAGGGATGCTACTTAGATGATTGAAGGAAGTGACCTCTTTCTAATTTCTCCGGTCGATAGTGATTGGTGCTTGTTGCTGTCAGTTGTCTTCATCTCCTCCACTGTCCCTGTGTTCACTTGAAGTCCCATCATTAACTGGTTCATCTGACAGTTTGTCGGTTTTGTCAGTAAGGCTTCGAGTTTGTGTGACATTAAAGATAAATCATTCACGAAATCCAGATCTTGTACGGTTTTATTATTTTGTCCTAAATTTAGCAATAAACTGAATCGAATTACTTGAAACTGCCTAAAACGTTAGACTAGAGAAACTTTACGAGAACGTATCACCTTTACAGTACGTAGAGGAACTAGACCACATAAAGTTAAATCGAAAAGAATTTAGTGGGAGCATATCCTCTTTACAGTAAACTATGAATACAGCAGACACTGTAGAAACCATTCGATGGAATCAAGACTATTCGAAAGACTTTATTTTGAACTGGTATACCCAGATTATAATCACTGGAATCAAGTCTTGACCACCTCATAGCCTATAACTAGGATGCTTTTTTCACTGTAATATAATGCAAACATATTAAATATGTACTTTATAGTAGTTGCTATTAGTTACAAGTATCAGTGTGATGAAAGTTCCACATAAAGATACACAAGGATACTAACATCTCTGGACAATATATTAAAGAGATACACAAATAACTAGAACACTGTTGACATATATTCCTCCTTGATAAATTTCTGTGATGTTTAATGAAAAACTGACAAGCTTGATATACAAACTCTTTTCGCCTACTAAAACTGGTGCTCAACATTCATCAATTTTGCAAAAACACTTTCCTTTGATCGAACACCAGGTACTAATTAACTAGACTTTTTTAGCGCAAATGGCATTATATCAGCCGAATTTCCAATGCTGCCGCCTTGCAGCCCTGGATGACATGGGTTCTCGTCTCAAAAGGGACATGGATTCCTCCAAGACTGAATACACGCCATTGTGACTGGTGAGTGCTAGCAAGCACGAAACCTAGGTAGAAGCCTTCCTGCTAACTTGAAGTCAGTTGGTGGATGGTAACTATCAGTGCAATCCAGGATGCGCGTTTGATCCTCTTTGGGACTTTTCATCTGGATGTGTTTGCATTCCTCAGTGAGTGATAATGCTCCCACCTGTGCTTGAACTCAGCGCCCATAGTTTCAAACGTCAAAACGTTATCCACTAGAGCCTCGGTGGGAACATCATCACTCACTGAGAAATGCAGGTACATCCAGATAATGAGTCCCAAATAGGACGAAATGCGCATCCTGGATTCCACTGCTAGTCACCATCCACCAATTAAATACCTTTTGAATGATAGTTCATTCTAATACCATTGCAAGTTTTCTGTGGTTCGACAGGAATTAAGAAGGAAGCGATGAATAACTTCACCATTTATCTATATCTGTTTCTAATACCATTTGTTAACACTATGATCTTAATTTTTCAAGACAATGAATATATAACGATTGATTTCACTCATTTTGAGAAAATGCATGACCCAGGGTAAAATCAAAAGTTTTAGAAGTTGGAATTCTCCGACCTGTGTTTGTTCGATAACATTTTTGGCGCCAACTTCATTGAGAAACTTCCATTACCTTATACCATCGTTTAATTTACACCAAACAATTTACACAAGTCCCTCATTAATGACTATTTAATCATAAGGCTTCTATAGTCCGTTGATAAGCCCTTCGAATTCTTAGGAGCGCCATAAATTCAATACACACTATCACTGGAATCTGTACATTACCGAAAGTGTATGGAACCTCTCAACTTATAGACACTATACTTGTAAGCAGTGGATATTTAGTAGTACTCCTATATTAATGCAAAAAATATTGTCAAGTTTAATCCGAGCATCTTCTTTTATACATCAGTAGTATGAACCAGTAATCAAAATATTTGAAAGAAATAAAAATAGGTCATTTTATAAATTTCAACAGAATCTAGAGAATTCCCACCAAGTTTTAGCCTGCTTTCAATTCATCTTATTTT